CACATATGCCTGTCAATAGACAAATGGATTAAGAAAATATGGTGTATATATACAATAGAGTTATATTCAGCCATAAATAATGAAATTATGGCATTTGCCAGTAAAGGGAGGAAATGAAAAACATCATGCTAAGTGAAATAAGGCAGACTCAAAAAATCAGGGGTCAAATGTTTTTTCTCATGTGGCAGCTAGAGCAAAATAAGGGAAATAAGGTAGTGGGGAATTGAACATCAAAAAAGATAACAAGGAGTAGGTGGAGGTGGTCTGGAGGGAACAGGTAAGGAGAGGAAATGTGGAATGAATAATAACAAAATCATGTCATGTGTAAATAGGTATATACCGCAGGGCATTTCCCCTTTGTGTAGAAAAGCAGCAATCAAAAATGAATAAAAGAGCAAAAAAGGAAGATAAGTAGAGGGTGGGGGGTGGTGGAAAACTGGGACTGAAATGGAGTAGATCAAATCCAATGCATGTGTGATTTGGTCAAAATGAACGCAACTACTACATATAACTAATGCTCTGATTTAAAAAAATTTTTTTTGCCGTATTTCTGTTATAGCTAACTTTTTTAAATGATCACTTGCTACTTTTACGCATGTAGCATTTTTTGGATTATGGATTTTGTGTTCTACTTTGAAATAATCTCTAAAGCTTTCTGAAAGTTTGGTATCTAGAACTGAAGATAGTCCACTGGGTTTCTTCTGATCCTAATGAAATAATACGTACTGTTTATTTGTCTCTAATATGTGACAGACATTATACTTGGTGTGCTTTAAAAATGCACGTGTGTTATCCTTTTGTTCCTGTGACCAAAATACCTGACAAGAACAATTTAGAGGAGGAAAAGCTTCTTTTGACTTATAGTTTCAGAGGTTTAGTCTATGGTAGGCCAACTCCATTTCTCTGGGCCCAAGGTAAGGCAGAACATCATGGCAGAAGGACATGGTAGAAGAGTGCAGTTCCACTCATGGCTACCAGGAAGCAGGGGTGAGGAAAGGGGGCTGCAGGGAACACTTAGTGACCTGCCTCCTTAGCCACACCCCCTACAGTTACCACCTAGTTAGTCCATTTAAGTTAGGATTAGGTAAGACCTCTTATAATCCAATCATTTCATGTCTGAATATTCCTACATGAACATAGGATCTTTGTGGGGGCATTACTTTATATCCAGTCCATAACAGTATATATTCCTGTGTAGTCTTAAGCATTTATTTTTAATGAAATGGCATTTTTTTTTAACCTTTCAGATTGGTACTTGGCATCTCTGGACATATTCTGACAGTCATGGTTTCCTGAATTAGAATGTGTCTCAAAGAGTTAGCTGGGAAGTATTTGATCCTGCAGTTAGGAGAGATAACAGTTTCTACCACATACTTGATGAAGGGGGTGTAGAGGCCCTAATTATTTATTTATGAATGTCACTGGGAATTGAACCCAGGAGCACACTACCACTGAGCTACATTCTCAGCCTTTTTTTTTTTTTTTTCCCCTATAACAAGGCCTCAAACTTGTTCTGCCTCAGCCTCCTGAGTCACTAGGATTAGAGGGTACACCCCCAAGCTCAGCTTTGAGGTCCTGATTTCCATTAAGTTTCCTCTAATTTTTCCTCTTGGACTGTTTTTTTCCTTCTTCAAAATCTTGAAAATTGGGCAGGGGATAGATATCACTCAGTAATAGAACACTTCACGAGAATGTGTGAAACCCTGAGTTCAATCCCCAGTAGTGCAAAAGTACACAGAAACAAAAATCATGAAAATTTGTTGTGACTTTATATATGTTTACTTGCTTGATTGTTATCTCTAGGAATATTTGTTCAACAATAATATCTAACCCTGTAATAAATATCTGGCACATGGTGTGTGCTCAGTGAATATTTGTTGAATTGAAGAACTAGTCACTCCAAGAACTGAGGCCATTTGGAGGCCTCCAGGCTTAGATTTGCCATTCAGCATGTTGAATAGTTTAGTTGGCCTGGAGATGGGCTCTGTTGCCTTCCTAAAAGGTTCAGAGTTAGTTGGCCCTTATGTTTCTCTCTGGAACATTTGAGCTTTTGAGGCAACTTTGGTCCAAATGATTCTTTGTGAGTTTGGCTGGAATCCAGATTTGGAACTTAAGTTATTTCTAGGAATTAATGTTTTCCACTACTTCACACTTTTAAGTAGTCATGGTTATATTTACCTGAGTTAAAATAATATCCTCTCCTAAATCAGCAGTTATCCAGAAATTGTACTTTGATTGAATTCTTTTCAGATGTGAGTAGTGTTTTGATATTTCCAGATATCAAAGTCTGTATTAAGGGGTCCATGAGACACCAGATACCTCTGGCTTTAATTATTTTTATTACTAATTCCCCAAGTTGTTTGGAAGCTTATTTGATAACCAGTCCCAGTTTTCTTGCTGTTTCCTCTACTTCTGAGAATTTATGTGAAGATTAATGTTTGCTGGATAACTTGTTTGGCTAGTTTCCTGTTCTCTGAGAGGCTGGCACTCACAAATGTGAACTCAGGGTGAGGCGGGACAACGTGGGGAGAGGTCACTACCTCTGGGGAAGGAAGGATCAACTCTGTCATGGGTTGCAAACTTTCTGTAAAGGGGCAGATAGTAAATATTTTAGGCTTTCTAGGCTGTGGTCTTTGTTATAATCTTTTTAAAATTCTCTCATCTCTTTAAAGACGTGAAAACCATACCTATCTCAAGGTAAGATGTGGATCTATCTCAAGATCCATATAAAACAGGCCATAGCTAGAGTTGGCCCACACATTGTGATTTGCCAACCCCTGAACTAGGTGAAGAAATTAGTTTGTTGCTACATGTATTTATTGTTTTGGAGACATTAACCCAGAATAACATTGGGAATTCTAAATTGATTGTGATTCAAAGAAGCGCCATCAAAACTTTGGCATGTGGGGTCAAAGTCGCCCTAATGACAGTCACCCTGGGTCCCTGAAACTCAGAGTAACCTTGGCCAGTGGGACAGAGGTTTCTTGCTGCATCTTTCTCATGGGCAGGTTGAGATGAAAGACTGGAGTGGAGGTACAGCTGTAGAATTAGGCAGGGATCTGACAGGTAAAAGGAACACAGTGACGCAGATTCCTCAGCTGCTTTGGAATATAGTTAGAAATCTGGCATGCACATTTAGTTTGGCCAGTTTATAAAAATGAAAGAGCATGTCTGTACTTTGGATTCTGAGAAGAACATCAAATCTTGATAAGTGAATCCAGATCTGCTTTGTGGTTTTTCTCTAATCACAAGAAGTTCTGTAGAGAAGGCCTGGCGTGAAAGAATTATTTCAGGATAGTTGGTGAGATAGGAAGAGGTCAGAGACAAAGGCACTTGTCCTTATCCTATTCTACCACTGTGAATAATCTCCTAAGTCTCAGTATTCTTGCCTGTAAATGGCCTTGATAATAATAATTCTTCCAGAGTTGTGAGAACTAAGTGAGAACAATATATGTAAAGTGCTTATTACTCAGTGCCAGTCATCTTGTAAGCATTCAGTAAATGTTAGCAATAATAATGAGGTAAAAGTAGAAGAAAATGAGGGAACATGGGGATCAAAAATGGGAACTTTTGCTGGTGATATAGCTCAGTTGGTAGAGTATTTGCTTTGCTTGCACAAGGCCCTGGGTTCAATCCCTAGCACCAAAAGAACAAAAAAAATGGGAACTTTTATTTGTGACTCATTGTCACTGAACTGTCATGTCCTTGTTGAGTATTTGATCACTGTGTGGAAAAGTGTTGGAGCTGTATAGAAATGGATCTATGTCTACCTCTCTTCATTTCCTTATTTAGAAAATGGAATAATACATGTTGACAAATTCAAGGTAACGAAATGCGGTAACATGTTTGAGTTTATAAAGCATTGGACAAAATTTAAAATGAAGTCAGTACCTGTTCAATTCTTGAATTTCTAAATGTTTTAGGACAGAGCTAGATGATGATTTGTGAGAAGCCAAAATCTTTTTGCCAGGGACTCGAGTTGTAGCGAGTGCCTAGCACGTGTGAGGCCCTGAGTTCGGTCTCTACACCATGAGGTACAGGAGATGTTTTGCCTAAAAGACTTGATAGGATACTCCCAGGTTCAGGACTTGATAATTTGTGATATGAAATGAGTACTGTAAAATTGTAATGTTTTTGTGAGATATTCGAAATAGTGGAATTTTAAAATGAGTAGCCAGGGTAGGAAGATAGACTGCAGGGGTTTAATCTCTATGGAGGAAATAAAACACTGTTTTGCAATGTATTTCCTTTTCTCCTGCAATTCTGTTCTAGGAATTTATCCTAGAAATATATTCACCATGTGCATTTTATGTACTAAATCTCACATGCATATGGTTATTCATTACATTTTTATAAAAAATAAAATGGAACTACTAGGAGTCTCTAGCTTTAGGAGATTGGTAACCTAGGTCCTGGTGTATTCTTAACAGTTGAAAACTATATATACCTGCAAAGAGTGCAGCAGCTCTGCATGTGCTGATGGAACTATTTCCAGGATATGTTAAGCTAAAACCAAATAAAAAGCAAGGTGAAGAACAATGTTTGTTGTATGCCATTGTTGTTGCTGCCAGGCCTGGGCAGAGGAACAACTATGACTTCCTTGTATAAGCAGAGACTATCAAGGGCAGATTATGAAGCTGGTACTATGGTTGAGACTTGGAGAATTTTGGGTAACAGGACAGGTAGGAGGGAGATTTACATTTCATAATATACCCTTTTGGTCTTTTGAAATGTGTCTTTTTGACGTGCATGTTCTGTTCAGAAAGTTTGAGTGACCACAATTCCTATCATTGGAGTTGAAACTAGATGGAATATTTGTTTTCCTCTCATCAGTGTCTGCCATATGTGGCCCTGCCTGGTTCCTCTGTCTTCAGTGGCTTGAGAAGCTGGCTCTGACGATAAGCTCATGGTGAAACAACCCTCCCTGCCCGTACACAAAGCACATTGACATTTCTCCTCTTGATTTGTGTAACTGACAGTGTTTCTCTTTCCACCCCTAGATCTGGCAGCATGTAAACAACTTTTTGCCAAGAACCCAGGTCACCGCTGAAAAGGGGGCCTTAAGGGAGAAGAATATCGAGAGTACATCAATGCCAGGCGCGTCTGGAATTACACTCACCACAGGCAGCATGACACATTCAGTGCCAGCATCTGTGTCCTACTGGAGAAGGTTGGGACTCTCCACGTAGGAGGGTCCTCGGGGCAGCAAGCACCAAGAGCCTCTCTAGAGGGAGAATGGGGCCAGATACGAACTCTCTACAATGAACTTGATTTTCAGCTTATGAAGGAATTTTAAGTAAAACGATTATTTAATTTCCACATATTCACGTTCAAAAAGCCTTCTGGGTGAAGTACTAGCAGTCACCCTCCTCTACGGGAGTTTTCAGGATTTTTCTGGCACCAAGGTGAACTCTTCTTGGTACTTCTGGCAATACAGATCTGCAGGACAGATTTATCTACTGAATGCTCTGGAGCAGGAAAAGAAAGAAAACCTCTGGAAGCAGGAAAAGGATAGCAGAGCAGAGACCCCTCCCTCGGTACTCACTTGCACAGAAACTCAGTCTGGACTTGGATGTTTTAAATAAAAACTTATCCTTCCGCATTCACTGTGAAGTCTCTCTATTCTGGGGAAACCTGGCATTCTTGGGCTGCCTCCTGTGGCCCTTTTGTACTGTCATTCTGCCCCCAACCCTTCTATACAAGCAGTTGAATGATGTGAACTTTGGAATGGAGTATTTTACTCTTGGAGGACTGACTTCCTTTCATAGGCTGCTGGTGTCAGAAAGGACCATCTGAAGGCAGTTATTTGTGCTTGGGGAGAAGGGCACTGGCCTGGCCTGAATCCTCCACCATGTTTCTGTTGCTGCCTTTTGATAGCCTGATAGTCAACCTTCTGGGCATCTCCCTGACAGTCCTCTTCACCCTCCTGCTTGTTTTCATCATAGTCCCCGCCATTTTTGGAGTCTCTTTTGGTATCCGAAAGCTCTACATGAAAACTTTGTTAAAAATCTTTGCGGTAAGTTGAACTGTTACAGTAAGTTGAACTGTTACAGTAAGTTTGTTTCACAGAGGAAGGAAGGGGACATGCTTTTAGGCTAAAGAGTTCTTACCTGGCCAGTGGCTCTCTCTTCATTGAATAGGGAGAAAGTGAGGAGAATAGGAAGTGGCATCTGGTGAAAAAAGAATAACTAAATGTGTACTTTTGAAAGCCTTTGGTAGTTTTTCTCAGTGAGCTAAGCTGCTTGTGTATTTGATTCATGCTGAGCAAAGGGACCTATTCCATGACTCCACAGCTTGCCTGTTTATTTCATAGAAAATGGGGCTTAGAATTTTAAAAATCATTGCCAGACTCTATATCTTCTTGTATAACAGATAGTGGAGCACACAGCTGTAGCCAACATATCCCCTCACTGATAACCTTTTCTTTCCTTGGTTTATTTATCTTAAGTAGGTTCTTGTATTTTAGACAAAAAAGGGCATTTGAATTGTTTTGTTTCCTGAAAGAGAAGGATAATAAATTTCTGAACATATGTCAGAGCTTGGATCTAATTATACCACTAAACAGAACTAGTCACCTTACAGTGAAAACAAAAAGAGTGATATTTCCTGAAGTTGATCCATGCAGTGAAACTTTAATTTTTTGAACCCAGGGACACTTAACCTCTGAGCCACATCTCTAGCTCTTTAATTTATTAAATTAACCAGCCGGTTAATTTATTAATTGCAATGTCAGTAGTTACCAGATCTTCAGGAATTGTTTTCCACAGCTGAAACCATGTATACTTTTGAGAAATGCACCCTTAATGGTAATAATAACGCAGCATTACTTGTTCATATGGTATCTTTTGGTTTTGTTTTGTTTTGCAGTGCTAGCCCAGGGCCTTTCACATTACTAGGCAAGTGCTGTACCTCTGAGCTGTACCCTTAACCCAATTTATAGTCTTTAGAATAAATATTTTACTTTCCTTTGGTTCCTTAGAATTTTGTGGTGAATAGGGTAAATATCTGCATTTTATCAATGAAGAAAGGGACAAGTGAAATATATGAAATGTTATATTACAGTGGAAATATTTTTATGTATATTATTGTGATATATTAAGTATATTCGTGGTATTTTACAACCACTGCCTCTATCTTGTTCTATTACATTGTCACCAGTTAAAAAAAAAAAACTTCTTACTCATTCAGCAGTCAGTCCCTATTTCCCCTTCACTCAGCTGCTGGCAACCTGTGTTCTGTCTCTGAGGATTTACCTATTATGGATATTTCATGTAAATGGAATCATACCAAATGTGCTCTTTTGGATCTGGCTTCTTTCACTTAGCATAACACTTTCAAGGTTCATCTGCATGATAGCATGTATCAGTGCTTCTTTTTTGTGTGCGTGGTTAAATAATAATATTCTATTGTTTGTCTATACCATAATTCGATTCAACTCATCCACTGAAGGACATTGATGGTATGTTTCCACCTTCTGTCTGTTGTGGATACTGCTGCTTTGAACATGTATATACCTGTATTTGAAGTGTCAGTTTTCAAGACCAATTTTTTGAGCACCTCTTATGATAATGTCTGGAGTTATGGGTATGTGGACGTAGCCCTTGCTGCTCGGCAGACCTGGAGATCAGCAGCATATTTACTGCCTAGGAGTTGATTATGAATGAAAATCTCATGCCTGCTGTAGACTACTGAATTAGAATCTGCTTGCTTTTTTTTTTTTTTTGGCGATGCTAGGCAGGAACTATACCACTGACTACATCCCCAGCCTAGAATCTGCATTTTAAACAAGATACAGATTTTTTTATACATTAAAATCTGAGAAGTAGTTATCTAGATGGTCTTTGAGCTGGCTGTTTTACTAATGTATAGTATCTATTTTAATCAGTCAGGAAAAGGGATTTTCATACATTTCAGGCCAAGTAAATCTTTAAAGAACACAGGATCCCTGTAGACAATATAAATATAAGGTAATATCATACCCTTTAGTTGTGGAAAACATACACCAGGACAGAGATAGTAGAATGATAAACTTTTAGGAGACAATAAGGTGTGTATCTAGTAGCTTTTATTCAAGTTTATAGGCAAGTGATTCATTCTTGAGCCTATAGAAATTGTCATTTTTAGTTTTTGTGTTATTTATTTTGGGAGGTGCTAAGCATTGAACTGAGGCCCTTGCACATGCTATGCATGCACTTTAACATTGAACTACAACTCCAGCCCCCTGAAATTGCTATTTTTCAAAAAAAATACATTTATTTATTTATTTATGTGGTGCTGAGGATTGAACCCAGGACCTTGCATGTGCTAGATGAGCACTCTACTGCTGAGCTGCAAACTCAACTCTGAAATTGTTATTTTAAAAATGTGTAAATAAGAGTTATGATCCTAGTGTTTTCCTGTCTAACTTGGATGGCAGTGGATGGAATAAAAGGCCTAAAATCCACGTTTTTGAAAATGTCTCCCAAATTTAATATTTTAAAAGTTCAAATATGCCAAGTAAATCCATCTCATGAATCTTTGTGTGTGTGTGTTGGGGGGGGGGGTTAACTGGGCATTGATTCCAGGGGCGTTTTACCACTGAGCTAAATCTCCAGCCCTTTTTATTTTGAGATAGGGTCTCATTAACTTGCCAAGGCCAGCCTCAAACATGTGATCCTCCTGCTTCATCCTCTTGAGTGGCTGGGATTACAGGTGTGCATCACTGTGCCTGGGCTATGATTTCTATTTTTTAAATGTACATTCTTGTGATTTTTAACATAGTTTATAATTATACAATGGAAAATTCATTAGGTGTTTAGTGTTAGGCCAATTTGTAGAACATGTAATCTTCAGCCTTCAGACACTATAGACCACATCTTGACAATCACTGATTTGTACATAGCAGTTTAGAAATGGTGATGAAAGTAACATGTATTTGTAAACTCAAAATTAAACATTTAAAATAGTAGGTGTTGGATGGTGGAATGTGATAGACATCATTATCCAAAGTACATGTATGAAGACACGAATTGGGTGCCAACATACTTTATGTACAAACAGAGATACGAAAAATTGTGGTATATATGTGTAATAAGAATTGTAATGCATTCTGCTGTCATTTTTTTAAATTAATAAAATAAATAAATTAATAAAGTGGTAGGTGTTGAGGGTGTACCTCAGTCTTAAAGCTCTTGCCCAGGAAGCATGAGGTCCTAGGTTCAATCCCCAGCATGGCAAAAAAGGAAAAAAAAATTTTTTTTCTAAAAATAGATTTTACTTACTAGAGATACGTATGTACTGAGAACATAAAGGGTTCAGGGTACCCTGTAGTACCTGTCCTGTGGAGCTTCACAGACTGAGTTGGCTATACGCTAGAATAAGGGTTGAGCTAGAAAGGACTGGTGCATGCTTGCAGGGGCTTACGGAGATTCTGGGAGAGTGTCCAGTTTATAAGAGTGTCACCTTTGGTTTCTGCTCTGAGTTGATTTTAATAGAAAACTCAATACTACTTTTATCAGTGATAATATTTGATAGGAACTTGATTTGGCCAAGCCAGTGTTAAGCCTTGGAAAAGATGTATCTTGTGTTCCATGTATATATCTAAAAGACACCCATATTTATGGGTGATTTTTGTTTTTGTTTTTGTTTTTATTTTTTATTTTTTTTTATATAGAGAGAGAAGAGAATATTTTAATATTCATTTTTTAGTTTTTGGTGGACACAACATCTTTGTACGTGGTGCTGAGGATCGAACCCGGGTCTCACGCGCTACCACTTGAGCCACATCCCCAGCCCTTTTGTTTTTATTTTATAGAGGAGTGTCAATCCCCCCTGTAAAGTAAATTACCATAGCAAACTGCCATATACTAGGTGACCTATGAAATTTACTTCTCATAGTTCAGGAGGTTCTGAAGCCAAGAGCAACATAATGGCAGATTCAGTGATTGGTGAGGGCCTGCTGCCTGTTCCCAGATATCAGTCTTTCTGTGTCCTCAGGTGATAGAAAGGGAAGAGTGAGCTCTCTGGGCTTTCTTTCTGAGGGCACTAATCCCATTCATGAAGACTCTACCTTTATAATCTTAATACTGTCCAAAGACCTCACCTCCAAATATATCACATTGGGGATTGGGTTTTAAGATTTTGGCGGAGGGAACATAAAGGTTTAGTCTCATGGCAGAGATTTTCCTTCTACCTTTTTTAGACTCTTCACTTTTTCTATATTAGGATGATATGCGTAATTTTAAAACTAGAAGACAGTTCAGAGATTATCTTAATGCAGTTTTGGGAGTAAGGGAAGTCTTGAGGCTGAGGAGACCTACTTGGACCTTCTAGGCTCTTGTCATGTTATAGAAAGAAATTTAAGGAGACCTCAGGGTTTTGTTTTGTTTTTTCAAATTGTAGATTGACATAATACCTTTATTTATTTTTATGTGGTGCTGATGGTCAGACCCAGAGCCTCACATATGCTATACCACTGAGATATAGCCCCAGCCCCATCTCTGGTTTTAGTAAAAAGAAATTTTTATTAGAGAGTAAAAGGTGGAGACATGCATTCTGAAGAATTGGAGCTACTTAAGAGCCAGATGCGCTTTTGGGGTCTTAGGCTGTTCTTTTAAAGAAGAGGGGTGGGCATGGGAAGGCATATTGGAACAATGTCAGCCTGGGGAACTCAGTTCTTTGATCATGGATCACAGAATGTTTATAGTGGTCTGGGCTCCAGGACCTTCAGGCTGACATTGTCTCCTCTAATAAATAATGTTTAGAATGTACCTGTATTATAGGTACATTCCCTTTGTTTTATCTCATTTGAAATAAAAATACATCTCCCTTTGTTTTATCTAATTTGAAAATACATTGTGTAGTCTAACATAAGCATTAATCAAATCAGATAATTTTCATAAATAATTGAATTTACAATAACTTTAACATCTTATAGAAATTTCCCAGGGATTTGGGAGTGATAGAGCTATAGTTTCCTTTTCCTTTTGTCTTCTTTCTTTTTTTTTTTTTCTTTCTTTCTTCACTTGTCTCTCTCCT